CAGTGATGAAAAATGGATTCTCTTTGTGAATATTAAATGCCAAAATCCACTTCCAACCCCCAAACCTGGACTCCATCCACAGAAAGTGATGCTTTCTATTTGGTGAGACATCAAAAGAGTAATTCATTTTGAACTCCTCAATCCACAGCGAACTGTCAATGCAGAGATCTATAGTCAGCCCTATAGTCAGCGTTTAAATCAAGCCCTTCATCAGAAACGCCCTTCACTCATCAATCAGAAAGGTGTTCTCTTCTCCACATCCACATGTGGCACGTTTGACGCAACACAAGATTATGGAGTTGGGTTGGGAATTCTCCCCCACCAACCATATTCTCCAGATATGTCACCATCAAATTATCATCTTTTTCATTCACTGCAACACCATCTTAATGGGAAAACATATGCAAATGTGGAAGGTATTAAAGAGAACAGACAGGTTTTTCATCAAAAAAAAAGCGACATTAATTCCTTGACGACCTAATATTATATAATGAGTAATTTCTCACCCTTCTTAAATAGTATAATACATTTTCAAAATACTACAAGTTTTTTAAATCTACAAACATCTGGTGTATTCCAACAATACCTCAGATACAGTCTTTGTATGTTGTAAATTCTGAAATAAAACAACACTACACTAACCATGAATGATGGTTTTGATTGCTCAAGATGAGATCTCAGAGGCTGTGGGACAGTAGGATGAAGTGACACTCCTCTTTGCAAAGGTGACTGTATTAAATTTAATGATGTTGTGGACACTCTCTGAACCAAATCAATTGGTTGTGTCTGTTCACTCCTCTCTCTCTCATCAGAATGCTTGGTTTCATTTGAAATTATCTTCTGAGCAGCACTCATTCTCTCTTAAAGAAGCAAAGAAACATCATACTTCCATTAAATAGATTTAGAGGCATAATGACAATAGCTGAAACCAATAGCTATTAAAATTTGTAAACATATATCATACAGAGAGCAGTCCAATAAAAAAAAAATTGAAAAACATGACCTAACATATCAACATAAATTATTTTTGTTATTGCTATATAAAATTTGCTTGAAAGGTCCAATAAAATATTCACATAAGAAACCAAAATATGTAATCAACTCAGTAGGAAAAATTAGATCATCTAGTATTAAATAAGCTAATTTATTCTAACATCAAAGAATTGTTGAACTGTGCCAAAGATTATTGTGAACATTTCTTTACCATGGATAATATGCAAACAGAATGGAAAAAAAATCATAGTTATGATTTCTTTCCTTTTTTGGTTTCTACAGAGTAAGCTTTCAACCAGCTTCATTAATTTTTTTATAAAATTTTTACTTGCTAATATATTTGATTAAATGAAAACATGAAGTTTTGTTGTTCATCATCAGTTAATTAAATAACCATGTAAGGTATGAAAACATGAAGATGTAGACAAAGTTTTGTTGTTCATCATCAATTAATTAAAAAAACCATGTAAGGTATGAAAACATGAAAGACCAAAGTTCTGTATAAAATATGTGGGTGAAAGCTCCCCATAGTGAAGTGGAAAAACAAAACTAAAAAATTACCAACTTAAAGTAGAAATAATAAACATAGAACCTTTGGTTTTGCTAAAAGAGACATCATAAACTGTAACACTTGCTAAGGGAAGAAAATCTTGTAAACTAACTAAGAATTTAAAAACAAGTTTGATTAAAATGTTTTGCATGTTAGTAGCAAAATAACTTAGCTACTAGCTTTCAAATTGTTTACTGAATGTATTTATAATATTTTATAAAGGAGCAACATTTTTACTGGTAAATACAGTTTTTATTTTGGAAAAATTAAACCTTGAAATTTAAGAATAAAAAAAAAATTGTTAAGCAACTGGTTATGTCAAAAAAGAAAGTATGAAAAAAAGCACAAGGTATTTTTTATTTCTTCATTTTCAAGTGATGAAAAAGCTGTTGTCAGGTAAACAGTTGATCAGTTAGGAGTTATCTTGCCATGAAGAAATATAATTTTTTTAAGTAATATGAAATAAAAAGTATTTTGCTGGGCTCCATAAATTTACATTTCTTTAGTCATTTAACTTGCAAAAAGCTTAAGATCCCTAATCTTTTTTTTTCCTGAGGTAGCTTCAAAGTTACTCCACATTGAAAAAAAAATTCCAGCTTCTAAGCTTTATCAGTATTATTTATTAACAAAGTACCAGCAACTTTGACATCACTTATACTCACTTCTGTCAACATTAGTAATAAAAATACTAAAGAAAGATCATAAAACAAAATTTTGAAATCTAAAATGTTGCTCACTTAATCAAAAACTAAAATGATAATTCCATGGATTTTTAAATATTTCAACCAATACCAAAGGGTTATGATTAACTAATATAGGATTTGAGGTAAATATAGTTAATCATATGTGTTACTAAGCTTTAAGTTTTGATGAAGATAACTAGTTGGAAACATCATGTTTCAAAATAAATATATAAAAAACGTTTCTGCCAATTTGTAACTTATTAATTTATTCTAATGTTCTAAAAGTTATCTTATCAAGTTGCCAAAATATACTTATGTAACATTTCCTAGGATACTCTCCTATCTTATCCAAAAACACTAAAGCTTCTTTAAGAAAGAAAACCTAAACAGGTTTGATAGCTTCTATATTTAATAAGTGATTTATGATAAACATCATTAACTAGCCACATGTGTATTTTTGAAACTAACTTGCATTTTGAAAATAATATTTACCAAAAGCTTTCAATGGAAATTTTATTATATACATAAACGATCAAAATACCAGCTTGATACACTCACAATATAGAATAGGGACTGATCTTTAAGGATATTGATAGCAAGGTTTTTGTTGAAGACTATGAGATGGCTGAGCTTTTGAACATTCTCTTCTATTTTTACAAGAGAAATTGTTAGTAATATTCCTGACACTGTCAAGAGAGACAATTATCTCTATACAAATCACTCAAATTGATTTGGTCTTCTTATCTAAGAAAGAATATTGACTAACTGGAAAGATTCAGAGGAAAGTTACCAGAAGGATTCTGGAGATGGATGGATTACATCTTTAGACTAGTAATCAGCATGTCTATTAATACACCTTAAAATTCTATTAGATTTACTACGAGCAACAGAGCATTGCCTTGATGACATGAGTGATTTATCTATCACCATGTCAAACTCCTTTTTTTTCAGTTATCTACTAAATGATTTAAATTTTCATAATCCTAATACATTACTGCATTAGTAAGCACTTACTATATTACTATAATTCAAGTTCATTTGCCAAATAGTTATCAACTGATCCAAGTCATTCTATAGTAACTCAATACAGCTAGTAGTTTAATTTAATTAGAAAACTTTACTAATTATGCTCCATTCAAAATCATGAATGTAAGTAACAAAAAGGAAAAGCCCAAGCACACATCACTGTGGCCCACTGCCAGTAACAATGATTCAGTTTGTCTGCGCTTCATTAATAACAACCTTTTGCTTTCTCTCACTCAACTACCCTACAATCCAACTAAATTGTCTTTCTCCCAATTCCTACTGATGAGGTAATTTTAGCACTTTGTCAAAAGCCTTTTGGAAATAGAAGTTTGCATCTTTTCCATCATACACATGAAAAGTAACATCTTCAAAAAACTAACAGGTTTACTGATGCAAGATTTCCCTTTGATGAATATGTGTTTGCTTTCTCTTATATCATAACTAAATGATTTTCGATTTCAAACCAGTACAACAAACTGCACATACAATCAAATCATATGGGGATAATTAGGTGTAGAAAAATTACAAATTAGTGACAGTGTTGAATATCTCTCTTACACACAAGAATTCTACGTTGAAATTATTCATTATCAAATTATACAATGTTATGAGCATTAAATGCAAATATTTTACCTACCAATAAAACCTATCACATCAGTATATATTTTCATATATTCTAAACTGGCAGAAAGAATTTTGAAATATATGCTACTAAAAGTAAACTTACACAATAAAATTCTTACTTGAGCTGATGTAATATGAAAGTCAGACCTATGGTGTGGTAAGTCAAAATTATTTAAAATATATTAGATTGGGAAAAGAAGCTACTTATAAAATTATACTCACAAATTAAAAACTGCAGAGAAGACTAGAATTTTATTCTTAAAAATAAAATAATTATTTAATATTATAACAAACATTTTATAAATATATAGTATCTAAACTAACATTGTAAGAGCAAGTGAGCTCATGGTAAAGTGTGTGTGTGTGTGTGTAATACACTTAAAAACAGTCAGTAGTTTGGATATTAACCCAAAGTGACGTTCTTTTGCAAAAGTGTATATTTGATATACTGCTATCATTATTATTCAGCCCCCCTTAAGGTTTTCTGTTTGATTATACTAAAATGATTTATTTGAATGTATCTTTTACTATAATTAATATTAACATCTGATTAAAGCAAGCTGCCTACATAGATTAGAACTAAAAATTAGTTAAACTAATATACTGCCCTTATGTTCTTACAATGATTACAATGTATTGTTTCACCAATTGGGCACCCTTACTATTAGCAATGCTTACAATCATAATCCAAATACTATCTCATAAAGTTCTTCCAACTTAGGAGATTTAGGATAGTCCTTAACCCATATACTAAAACAACAATGCCAAATAATCATTGTAATAAAAATATACAACAATAAAAACATATATTTACACATTATAACTATTACTGTTGATGAAAATGTCATTAAAGAAAAATACAAATTACAGATCATAACTATTCTTTTCTTCTTACACTCTTACCAGTTACCTGTCTCTGTAACTTTAAGAGTAGTTTGACATTCGATATAAATTATAATACAAATCACTGTTAGGTAGTAAAACAGCACAGACATTAGAGCAAGAAATTAATGTAGCACCGCCAATCAGTTTTCTTACTTTTTTAGGTAAAATCAAATTTTCTATAATTATTGGATTGGTTTACGAGAAATTTATGATATCAGTCTAATTCTGAAAGTTTTAAAGGAATTTTGATGCCAAGTTAGTACTACTTTAAATGTTTAACACCAACTCTCAAAAAAAACAAACTGGCATATTGGTGGTGGATAAAGTCATGTCATCAAGGCAATACTCTGTAGCCAGTAGTAAATCTAATAGAATTTTATGGTGTATTTATAGACATACTGATTATAAGTCAAATGAGATAAGATAATTTTTTCATCTCCAGAATCACCCAAGTAGCTCTTCTCTGAACCCTTTCCAATAAGTCACTATCCTTCATTAGATAAAAAGACCAAAACTTTACACAGTGTCAGGAATATTGCAGACACTTTCTCTTGTAAAATAACAAGAGAAAACTTAAAAAACTCAGCCATTTCATAGTCTTCAACACAGACCTTCCAATCTATATTTATTATTCTGTTTCCCTTTAATTTAATTAAACATTCTTGCTGTTAATTTTAACATTATCAGTCAACAATTTCTCACAAGTTCTTTTGGATTTCCTAACTTTCTTTTAAACTAACTTCCTAGTCTTCCTATAGTTTCATAAAGTTCAGTATATCTTCAAACCTACCTGACAATTTAAACTTCTTAAATCTATAGCATTTATCTCTGATTTTATCCTACTAGCTACATGAAAGGAATGAAGTTACAAAACACTCATTTTACTATCAATGCATTATAAACAACTGCAACAATAAAATGTGAAATATTTAATCTAATACATTAAATCACTTTATTAACATCTTCAATTTGAAACCTTAATAATGTTAATATTTCTTTGAGTTTAAAATATTAATTTTTCCACATCTAAATATAAAAAGAAATAACTGTCTGTCACTGGATTGTCTGCATATTAAGTTAAAAAGAAGAATCTAATATTTCTGTGTCAAGTCTTTCACTGGTTAAAAAAGTAACTACAGATTCCCCAGTATTTGAAATGTATGTGTCTGTGTGTGTGTATATATATATTTATAACTTAACCAATACAGACAAATGTAAATGATTCTCAAATTCACAACTGACTACTCTCTTATTTAGTGGGTAATAAACAAGATATTACATCTTATTATAATGAAGTCTGTGATGTACAAGTACAAAACTTGGATTTCGGAAACTACCACACCGATCATTACCAATCATAACTGGGTAATATTTTTATAACTATGCAGTATTTTTATAGCTGAGCAATGAATAAAACAATTGAAATTTCCACAAAAATGGTGTTTCAAATTTAACCAATAAGAATTACAAAAAAGGAATAAGTTTCAAATATAAAATAATCCAAAAACAAACTTAAAACAATTTTTTTAGTGAAAATCTCATGAGTGTTGCAACAGAAAAGCAAGGCACTTTCATTGATAACTGTGTCTACAAAGAAATACTTTAATAAAATCTACTCTGTGATGTAATACTATGATGATAGTTCCTTTGTAAACTAAAATTTAAATAAAATCCTTTTTCTCATGGATGGTGAACATTATTGAATGTCAAGTATGAATACATTGTTGTAGAACTGTCAGACAATTCCAGAAAGGCTGCTGGAATAGCAGTTATACCTGTCCTCCGAGCTAGTATTTCTGCTAGTGACAATAAAGCTGATAATTTTATACATTTCAATCCTTTATTGTGCCAATGAGAGCCGAACATAGTAAAGTATATAGTTTCTTTTAAACCACATTTTATCTTTATGTATATGTAATTATTTGAAACTTAGAACAAAAATGTACAATTCTTTAAACTTTGTTCATCATATATTTACAATCTGGTTCAGCTCTGTAGTAGTACTAGTAGTGGTATTTAGACTTCCTACATGTCAATAATAATAATATATACATCTTAGAAGTTACAAAAATCTTAGTTTTTACTTGCATCTTTCTGCTGAAGAATGTGAAGTAACCTAAACCACATAGTTACTGTGTATCTTATCATTATATGTAATCCAGTGATTGATTAAAAGTAATATATAGGTCCCAAAGTTAACTATTTTAGATACAAATTACACTTACAGTTTAACTTTACTTCAACAGTTCAAGTTAAGTGTTTACTCAAGGGAAACAAATCAACAACTTTACTACTGGTGGATAGTAGTAATACTAATACTAGTAATAGTAGAGGTAAATGTTTATACAGAGCCTAACTACAATCCACAGTCGTTAGTATTCTGCTTCAAAAATAATGCATAACTTTTGTCTCACGCATAACGAATTTTTGTTGTTACTTGTTAGGCCTAACTTAGGGTTCAGGATAGCCGATCGACCCTCAAGTCAGCGAGCTTGCGTTCCTAGACCCAAAGAGTCCAGGACTAACATTAAACCTCACAAACACTAGTAGCACTGTAGCAGTTAGCAACGAAGCCACAATCCCAAACCCAGAACAGAAGTTAACTAAGGAAGGCATTGTCGGGCCACTTGTCCTTATAGTTTATGCCTTTTCTTTACTGAAGTCCATTTAATTATTTATCCATCTCTTACTAAAAATGGTATTATAAATAAAGTGTAACCATAATTGTTGCTAAATAAACAAAAAATACCTGTAAAACGCCAGAAATTATTCACGTTCCGAAGAATACATCCTTATTCGTCAAACAGCTTGACTTACTCCGCCACTTTAAGCGCATGCGCCAGCGACGTAAGAGGTCATGGGATAACGTAATATGTGATCTGACATTACTATAAAAATTAACTTTCTAAAACAAAATTCTATAAATAGAAAATATGTATTAAACAATTTCATAAAAAAGTAATAATTATTACTTGAATGTATAAACGACATTTTTATATATTTTCTTTATAAGTATATTGACCTAACTTTCGCTTTTCTCTTTTATGCTGTTCGGGTTTTCATTTCCAATGAAACTGTCGTCTGCTTCGAGACCAATGAAAATGCGCAGGGCATTGAAGATTAGCGGGAGAGTAATCTAACATAATAAACTAGCTTGGCGGGAATACTAGTAGGATTAATGTAACTAGTAAAACTACGCACTGGCATTGTAACTTATAAGCGAACTGAGAATGGTTGTGGTACTTTTGCAATTAGTATTATTAATTGTTAGGTAAGCTTACATTACAAGCAAAACATGTTTCTAAGACATTTAAATTATCGAAAACGTATAAAGTATGGCAACTTAAGTTATCATATATATATATATATATATATATGTTTGCTAGTTCTTATAATAAGACGTAAGTCACGTGACTTACGTTTGGCGTGAGCGGTACATTACCGAGATTTTTTATAAAAATTAACTAACTGCACTACTATTAGTATTAGGCTTATACTATAGATTGTAGTATAGATATTATTTATTAAATTTATTTTCAAAAGCAAAATTCAGATAAAGAACTCGGTGTTTTTGCCTAAGACTTGGCCCAGTTCTGTCACTACACTAAGTATCCTACTGTCGGAACAGTTATAACTAGTACTTTTACTATAACTACTAGTACTTTTAGTGCTAGTAGTACTACTAATATTATTATTTTGGCAAATGAACTTTTATAATTTAATTACTGACAGACAAGGTGAAATATTTACAGAACTAAAGAAAACGACATTTGGTTTTAAAAAACAAAAGTTATGAAATTCAGCAGGGTTTATAATATAGTAAGTGCAAGATAATGCATTTGGTCTATTGTAATTTGGATCATACATTTAATATAGAATGAAACCCACTCAGTAGTGTGACTGAAATAAAGAATCTCAAATAGGTTGGATAAGTCACTCAAACCATTACATCAGTGCTCTGTTGTAAGAAGTATAGCTATTATAATTTTAGGATGTATTTGAAGAAACAAAGATCAGACAAAAGAGGTAATTAGACCATACTTGAAATATTATTTACAGTTCTTGGCTCCTTATTGACTTAATGGAAGGGGTTCAGAAGAGAGTCACTAAGATAATTCCAGGGAGGAAAGAATTATGGAGATAATTTATGATCTCTTAACTTTTCTCTTGAGAAAAGTAGGGTAAAAAGTTGACTGTATGGAAGATTGTAAGAACATGTGGAAAATTAGTAGGATAAAGGCATTTGATTTCTTTGTGTTATATTATGAAAGCAATAGGATGAGAGTAAACAAGTTTAAGATTTGTAAAAGACATGCTAGGTCCCAGTTAAGATTTTTTTTCTATCAGGATGTTTGGCTTATGGATGAGTTGCTGTTGGGAGAAGTGGAAGCTCACATTTTGCAAGAGGTTAAAGAGGGAACATATAATTTCCTTAACAATAAGAGAAATTTAAATTGTCTCAGTGGTGTTTGTGCAAGGACAGTTTAAAAGACCAAATAGTCTCTTGTCATCTATATGTTAATAACATTTACTACATGCACCTATGAGTATTTTATACAATACTCAATGTCTTATCACACCAGCCATTATCTGAATGCACTGAAAACATTTTCTCAGTCTTATAAACATATATAAAAAAACAAAGTGACAGAATACTGTTTAGCTCACAAAGGTCACCTTCATTTATCACATACCTTTCTAGCTTCATTACAATCAAGTGTAAGTCATACCATAATGCATACATTGTATAGTGAACATCATGTGACAGCTTGGAAAGCAATGTTAATTTTCCTTTGACTCATTGGTCTTCTCTGACTCCTGTTCAAGCTAATTTATGAGAGGTTTGTTAGTAATGAATGGACACAGCTGGTTGACATGAACTACATGCTTTTATGTGCCTCTCACAGCTGGTTGACATGAACTACATGCTTTTATGTGCCTCTCAACTGCTGTAACTTGTACAGTATTGGACTAACTCATCAGAGCAGAAAATAAAAGTTCTGTTCAATCAGAGCTAAGTGGCTTTGATACCACTGTAATACTAAAGCCACACTCAGTCTTTACACTAGTACGTTCAGTGTTGACCTCCAGTGGTACAGCTGTAAGTCTGAAAATAACGTATACACTTAAAACTTATAGTGGCTTTCTTAGCTGTTGGTGTGCAAACTCATGCACTTTAAATAATGCAGGTATTAACAATTCCTCTTATTCTTGTAGACATTGTGGGGCATCCACTTTAGTGGGAGGGCTATACATCATGTTTACAGGAAGCAAGGCTTCCATTTCAAAATGAACATATTCATCAAACAACCTGTTGTGCCATATATTATCAGGACTTAACTTGATTCAGTCAAGATTGCCAAAATTAGCAAGTATACGCTTAACAATCTGTACAACTCATTTTACTAAACTAACAGACTGGTGATAAGAAGTGTGTGGCTACACCACACTTAACACTTCATACAACTCAAAGAAAAGTTGAGTCAGTTTATTAACCTCTTTGTATCTCTTCAGATGCTCCAAACTGGGCTATTCATTGCTCTGCCAACACGTCAGCTGCAGACTGTCAGCCTTTCTATGAATGGATAAGCCTCAGCCCACTTTTTGATGTAGTTGATGGCCTTGAATATATATAACTAAACTTTTTCTGTCTTTGGGAGTAGACCAGTGATATTCAGGGCTGTTCTGTATATGCTGGAGTTTCTTTGTTTAAGCTTATTCTTTCTTGGGTGGCATACACTGTACATTGTAAACACATCAACATTGAACATCTCAAATTGAATGTGACTAGTAGAGCTGCCAATGAATGTGTGCACAAGTGTGGTTAACACCTTGGTGTCTGCCAGTCTTTGTGTTATACAAAGCCAGGAGAATTTCATGCTTTAAAGCTTTGAGGACAGCTAGCTACAACACAGTCTGAAAGCCATGGCTTGATGACTGATAACAACAGCATCACACAATTTCCTACATTTGTAATTGCTCATACAAGTGTCATTTGTTACATGTGTTTGTGTTGTGTTCCTCAATCTGAACTTGTCAGGCTTTACCCTGATGCGTGGTAAGAGGAGTGCCCATGCTAGATCTGGATACCTCCTGTAGCTGCTAAAATGTGATTTGATGTATGGCTTGTCATCACTATGGTAGAACTGGTTTCAACTTTCACAGGGTATCCACAGTCTGGACATTCAATGTCTCACTATGAAGTGAAACAGTGCATTGACATTTCCATGTTACAGACTCAGATGATACTGTATGACAAAATACTACTACTCCAGCAATGCTGTTATCCAATATGCTGTCATCCCATTAGGATTTTTAAAGTTTATTAACCATTTCAATGATGCATGGTCTTCCTGAATAATGACCTTTCTACCATACAACTGGAGTCACTAATGTTTTACAAAGACTATAGCTACAAACAGTTCTTTCTTCATCATCCAGTATCTGCATTCTGGAGACATGAGCATGTGACTAGCATATTTAATTACACATTTTATTCCATCTTGTTATTACAATAACACTACATGGATTCCAATATCACTAGTGTTGGTATCTAAAAGAATTCATAATCTTGTGCATGTGCCAGCAGTGTGGATTCTATTAAACCATGTTTCAGGGACTGGAATGCTTAGTTACATTCCTCTCTCCTTTTGTGAGATTCAATAATGCTGTGTAGAATGTGCCCCAGAATGATTAATAGTATGCTGTGAAATGGAGGAAACTGTGGATTTCTTGCTATTTTAACAGATGGAGCCATGGAGACTCCATCTTTACCCAAAATGTGACTGAGATATCCCACTTTTGTGTGCATGAACACAAGTTTTCCTGGTTTCAGTTTCAAGTTTGCCTTTTTTATCCACTGGAATATCATTTTTAGGTTCTCAGATGCAGACTTGAACATGTGATCAAACACATTAACATGTCCTAGACATAGACCAGGTACATCTCCTGTTGTAAGCCTCTTCAGTGTAAGCTCCATTAGCCTTTCATAAGTGGCATGTGCAATATGCAGGCCAAATGGCATGACACAAAATTCATGCAAACCATCTGTCTCTCTTGCAAAAAGCAGTCTTAGGTCTGCTCTTTTCATCCAGCATGACTTTCCAGTATCTGGACACCAGGTTGTGTTGAACCATTGGGCCCTTCCAATTCATCTGTTTCTGGCAGTGGAAAGGTGTTAAATGTGAGCTATCACATTTACCCATTTAAAATCATTACAGAACCTAGTTGTACATTCCTTCTGACAGTCACTACTGGAAAAAAACAAGCACTCTCTGAAGGGCTGTGTAAACCCATCATTTAACATTGGCTGTATTTCGGTAGATATTAATTATTAACAAATTCAGAATAGCAAGATGAGTTTTAGCAAATTTGATCATGATGTAAATTGCATTTGATGATTTGCTTTCTGCAAGACATGAGACTGAAAGGGCTGCCATATTGACTGGAGGTTGTCATAATTCAGTGGCACGCTGTGAACAAATCTCATTTAAGCCAGCAAAATTCTGCTTTGTTGACAGAAAAACAGTACAATTCAGGCAATAAAAATTGACATTTATGGTCCAGTAGCGTAAACAAAGAATCAAGATATGGCATCAGCCCAATAACTGCCCCCTTGGACTGTTTACAGCCCTCATGCATTTTTCAAATGTGAAGGAGTGCAAATTCATTAACATATTCAATTTGTGATGTCAGATGTATTGTGCTTCCTCTTGAATGCAGCATGACAGATGCAACTCTAGCATCACCACTAACCTTGGTTTCTTCCAGCTTAGGGGAAACTGCACAATCAATTATCTATAATTGCATAATAACACTGGGACTTCAACATTTTCTATACAGATAACTGATACTTTTGTCCAAGCTAATGCTGCTTGTTTTTTGGACAGGAAATGGCATATTCCATGTGTGGGCTTTATAGCCAAGTTACATGGCACAGAAGCACTAGACTTCATCAGTAGTAATCCACAGGACATCACTTGTGTATCTGGGTATTGTATTGTGACTTTCTATCCCACATACTCTTGTGCAATTCACTGTTCCTGGGCCCAGTATGGCTGGCAATGAATAATTCTCCCATGGAACATCAGCAATATGTCTCTTCAGAGGATGCTGATGGTAGAACTGAGTTTTGAGACGACTGTCTTCATTTTGTGAGCAATGCTTTGTAGACATTTGGAGAATCATTTCTTGATTCATGTCTTGTTTATCTCCATTTGCCAGAATAAAGTTAGGTGTTAAGTATCCTGTTTAGTGGTTTGGCTCTAAATG